CATCATCGACAGAGGTTCGGTCATTTTTAAAACGTGAATGCCACACAAACGTTTGTGCACGACCCATTGCGGACTCCCCAAATGCTTGCTTTAGGATTTCATAGGTTTCCGTAGCCGTTTTGGCGAGTCTTTGGCAAAATTTGATGCACACTCTTTGTTCATGAAAATCCGCCATTCCGAAATCGCAGGAGGGTCGGTGTAATGCACTACCAAAACGCCCGTAACTAAGAAACAAATGCTAATTCGATGATGCCGGCTGGCACACTGATTCACTATGAATGAAGGCCGCACCACCTAGCGGCAGAAGCTCGTACTACATCCGGTTCGCCCTCTATTGACACAGTCTCGAAACTTTCCGATCACACCTCGTATTTCTCATACACATACAATACATTTACAGTATCAGAGTCATTTGTAACATATGATAACTGGTTCATACAAAATTTGTAGGTGTTTACAATCAATATCCACATAAAAATCACACAGTACATCAGTTATTGCCATCAAACATAAGACTTCTTTTACTATGATTTATTACATGTGAAATAATTGCAACTATGATCATAATTTTCACCACCATGAAATCCCCTACCTCTAAACCACTGTGGGCAGGCAACAGTGTACAGAATTTGTCAATTAGAATCCCCACATACCACATCTACCCTGAATATGGAGTCAACATGTTCCTTCGAAATGCTGATAACCACCTACAAGACTACGTGTCATCATAACCCAAAAGACTACAATGTTGAGGTTCTTGAAAGGTTTAAATATAATAATAATAATAAAAACAACAACAACAATAATATATTAAATAAAATCACTTTACAAAGAAAGCAGAAGTATTAAACTCATATAAACTTTTAAAACAAACAGTGAATTGATGACACTTTACATGTGTGATATGTTTAAATAACAACAAAATAAAAAAGGCACTTACTCTCACTAGATTTGGCAAATCGACCCAGAAGTCATAATTAGGAATCAATTCTCTTCCTTCAGCTCCCCGAAGTAACCTTAAAGCAACTGCCCCTCCAACAAAATATAATATAGTGAAGACAAAGAAAATGATGACTAATACAGAGCCTGTAGACAAACCCTCATCAGAGTTCTGTGAAATAGTTTTATCTGTTCTTAGTTCAAAGGCTGGACATGCCCATTTACTTTCAAGCCTCAATTTCTGTAACAAAACAAAGAAAGAAATCATGTTACTGCCAACAATGCTAATTTAACATCTTTTTATAGAATTATCGAATATTTTCTGGTAATTGAAACTGAGTAAACAAAAGTATGTACAGAGTTGTTCTCATCTGAAAACTAATGTCACCCTGATGTTCAGAAACAACACCTTGTAAAAATATTAGAAATACATCTATTTTGTAAAAGTACTTCAGTACCTCCTCCAGTACTTTATGGTACTTTGCATATTAATCACATAAATCATGTTAATGTGAACTTGGGGGGGGGGGGGGGGGAAGAAATACCTATTCTACATGTATTCCAATCCTACATATGAAAAATTATACCAACGGAAAACTTTGTCACAAAAGAAAACAAAGTTTTAGCAGTATATATAGAATCTGAAGCAAGTGGTGGGCATGCGGAGGAAGCACAGTTAAACAAGTTTCATTCTATTACTGCTACTCTTCTTATAATCTACAATGTAACCTTAAAGTGCAACAAATTAAACACTATATCATGCAAAAGAAACGTGTAAAATCTAAGACCACCAGGACTTTTTGACGTTATCACATATACTCTGTTTAATATCTGTACAGTATCAGAAGAGCTGTTTTTATTTTTGTACATTTCATCTGAATAATTATTAATTATGTTAACAGTTACAAACTGTACATTACTTGTTAATGGTAAAACAATAAAATTAGAATAATGGAGATTCCATTACTGACTGCTAATGTCTTCATGTAGTGCAATAAACATAAGTAAACCTGAGCTTATGTTTCAGCTTAATGCAGGACACAGGCTTATTTACTTTTGGATAAGCAATTCCAACGTGAAATAATATGACTTACATGTGTAACTTCCTCATCCGGAACACCTATAACAGTGAATGAAGTCCGTGTCCTGTATACACACTGTAAAAGAATTCCAGTTGTGCTGAAACACAGAAGATACATTTCCTGTATAACAGTATGAGGTAAAAAAACAAGGTAAAGCTACAGATGGTTGTCTTCTGGGCTGTTGCGTCATGTAGTCTAGTATACATTTAACCGGCGCAACAAACCATAACAGCCATCTTCAGACTCACCACCGTGAAAACCTGAAAGTTATAATAGAACAATATTCAACAAAATTGTACTTATCTTACACAAACTAAAATTTCATTAGTTGTAAATATTTTAAATATTACAGATCATAAAGGTCAGTCCATCAGAAAAAACTATTGTTCCTATAATAACAAACTTACTAGATTATAATTAAAGACCTTTATTACTTTACACCACACATAATCTCACTAGAAAGGAGCCTGTAATGAATAAATTTAATGTTGGATGCTGGTAAAGGTAGGAAAGTTATACATCAGAAAATTCTTCATACAAGAAACTCATAAAGGAGTGTGATACTGACTTGAATTTTACAGATGAACCCTTTTTATTCAGAGAAATCCTGATCTTTACCATCATGATTTTTGGGACACAATGGAAGGCAGAGATCTCTTGACTGGTTACAATTTTATAACAAAAGTTAATATTTTTCAAAATACACCTACAATTTCTGTGACACTGAAACCTTCCCTTATATCTTGCTCATTAACAAGACTGTTTGTCTTTGTAAGACTATTTACAGATTTTTCATCAAAATAAATTTATAAATTTTTCTATTCATGTTCAGCCTATACAATGATTCAATCATTTCTCATTGCTTGTGCACCTTTTTTGATCAGTTCTTCAAACTGCCACAGGCAGATCATTCACAATCCTTAACCTCTTCCCTTCATTCGTGACATCTTAACCAACACAAAATCCTGTGCTGTAAACTTTTGTAGAGTTTTGTAAATATCACTTGCTTTCTCTTTCAGCTTTAATAAAAGTGCAATGCTGATTAACATTACTAAATATTATTATCAAACTTTTGATAATGGATCATAACCCTGTTTCAATTAAATTATTACTACATGGCATATAGTGGGAGTGCTTTACCTTTTTTCCCCTTTTTTACAAATGAAACTGAAAATAAATGATCTTATTACACAAAATTATGTTCACACGCATCCCAACATCCAATGCCTCACCAGTGCTACCACATAATGGAAAAAAAACATCACCATGGCTGCTTTATCATGCAGTACAATGTCCTTGCAATTTTCAACATACTTACATGTTTCCATGTTTATAAAGGATGACAGGAGAATCTTTTAAATTACCAAATAAAAATCTGTTGTCTTCAGTAGTTCCAAGGTTTTGAAATGTATTGCTTGTTTTGTTGAACAAACAAAGCTAGAAAAATAGAACACAAATGTCTGTACACAACTTGACAAACACAATGTATAAATAATGCAGATATTTACATATGAAGGAATAATTAAAAAATTACTACAATCAACATACTAATGATACTCTAACAGTTAGACAGGGTAGGGGGGATCAAGTGTGTCCCATCACTTACAGAACTTCCTGATGAGCAATCATCACTACCTGTGTGATGGCCATATGGAACATTTGAGCAAGGATGGAAAAAGAATGACACTTCTCTCAGTGTAGCATTTAACCTGGAAAGAATATAACACATTACGTATAATCATTTGCTATGTGTAACTCACCCTTGTATCTCTGTCAAATCGTTGTCACCCTGCATATTTTCTCCAAAAAGAAGAAAAAAATGAGTCCCAATAGTACAAACTATTAGGTTACAGATAAAAACCTATTGCTGTAAAGCAAAATTATTTTTGCTTATATTAATTAAACACTCACCACAATAGAAAAAAAGAATAAAATCTTTTTAGGATATCAGCTATCAGTTGATTAAAAAACCATCATCAGGGCTTCTGATATTATAACTATGGATCAATGTTATTCCAGAATCAACTGAAATGCTTCACTCTCAGTCAATCCTGGTACCTTGTGACTAACATGCTCAAGATATACCAATCTGGAGACAGGAGCAAAGCAAGCACATGACTCCACTCACTAGCCCCACACTTCCTCAAAGGTTCTGGGCATGTATAACAAGCAGGTAATTGAAGGCAAATGGGTACACCTACAGATTTATTGAATGAAATAATTTTTTACTTACTGTTTATGCCTAATCTAATACTGAGATACCTGACAGAAATTAATACCTGCAAAACATCAGACAAACCTAAGTTATGTTAACCCCTTAAGTGGTTAATGCTCGCCCGGTGGGGAGCACGCATATATGCGAGCTGTTTCTGTCATGCCTCAATTGAGTGTTCTGCCGTCTAGTTCGAAAATTTATTATTACTTATAGGTTAAGTTAACGAAATTCATACCACTTCGCTTCATCATTCAGCTGAGTCAGATCTATACGTATGCCATCTGGCAACACACATTTGCACCCATTAATCTTCCGACATTCAATATTCTCAACAGACGAGCATTGCGAACAAACACTTAAAACATACAAGCAAACAAATAGCACTCCACAACTGGACATTATTATCACATGATTCTAACCAAAGATGATAAAAAGGTACCAACCATACAAAAACATCTTTATTCATTACATATTTACCTACATCGTACCACAAATTCTCTTTTAATGTTGAGATTAAAACTAAATGCTTTTGTAATCATTTCAATTATCAAGATTTTTTGGTATTCTTCGCGCTTTAAAGTAAGCAAATAACACTTTTAGGGACCAATTATGTGTCTGTCGAGTCTTTCAGCCGAAAATGTCGTTCTGCCATCTATCGGTTGCTTTACAAAGTAGTTTCGGACGAACTAATCTTCATGAGATTTGGTATAGATGTTATGTCAATGTAGCGTTTTCCACAATAGTCCTATTTAATCTCATACAATTGGTAGTACCAACGCTTAAATTCGTGAGGTGGAATGGTGGTCCAGGTCTCAGGTTAGCTCAACCAAGGCGGACAACAGTTGCGGTTTCTGTCATTTGCATTTCACCTGAAGATGGAAGAAGATCCTGCTTCCGAAACGTAATTTTGTTGAAATATAAACAATGGGCAAGTCCAAAATACTGCTTTTAGAGATTGCCACCTTTCTGTGTTTTTGCTTGATATATAATACTAATTCTTGTGTTTTCTGTCAAGCTGTGATGTGTGGGAAGTATAATGACTTTTTAACCGAATCTTAATTCCGATATATTGGGTAGTAGTTAACATTTATGGAAAGTGTAGAAGTTCCCTAAATAAAGTTTGGAAGCTTTTAGACTTAGGAATAACTGCAGGATTACATTTTGCCTATACAGGAAAGCAAGGTGTTTATTTTTCATGGCCAGTTTGCTCAGGGGAATCACACTTGTTCTGAATGGATCTTTTACTCTGGGCCCATATCGAATATGTGACGATTCCACCTGCGTTTGCCAATTTGTTTAAAGCAGCGAATATACTAAAATCCCTGCATATTTGATACAACATTTCTTACACTAACATTTTTCATGATGGTTACTAAACCGGTCTGCAGTGCTGTTACAAAGTGATTTATTTTCGTAGGTGAGTTCTGACTGGACTTACGTACACATTAACAAATTCCAAGCACTAAAACATAAATATAGACAGACGTTCAAAGTGACTCAAAAAAGGCATAGAGACAAAAATAAGCGGAACAGTTACAATAACGTCTTATGTCTGCTTTTTAACCACTACGAACTTTGCAATGTAAAAATGTGTTTTTATACAGATAGAGAGTGGTTTTTCTACGTGCTTTGCAGTCAAATTGTTATTGCTGTTCTGTTGGCAGTGAAATTCATACTACCTTTCCAAACATGCACTGCTGTAAGGTCAGAAAGAGCATCTGTGCTGTATTCTATATGCACATGAAGTAGTGTGTTCCATTCTCTTTTGTCCTTCTTTATTCTCAGTCATGAAAGATAATGAAATTCTTTACAGAACTGGTAGGTATGCAACTGACAAAATTTCACACCCTAAGATGAGACAGATCTGAAAAAGATGTATTGATGTATTGTGTTTATTCGTTGTCAGTCAAATACTAACTGTCAATTTGGAAATTAGGGCTGAGACAAATTTGCTCCGTAAATTATTTTGCATTTTACTCAATAGCATCCGAAGAATTTTCAACAATTGTTTTTAGGAAGTCAGCAACAAAATAAAGATCCAATAAACTTTAGCACACTTTTGTATGGTATTGTTGATACTGGCATAAAGAATGGATGAATAATGTTCATATTCCATAACTCAGACACCATTTCTAACTTCACGACTCCTTGCTCTTTGATTCTAGAGGACCATTATTTATATTCTCTTTTGATCAGTAACTGATTTAATGACTATTTATGTCTCCATTCACATCCCCAATGCGGTGCCCGCGGGCGCCATGGCGCCCGCCAAAGCTCTTTTTGGGTGCCCGCGTTGATACGGAAAGAGGTTATAAGGAAAAATGAAGGCCGTTCAACCATGAACATTATAAAATCAAAGCACAGATCTCGACTTACTGACGTCCATTTTGACTGTTGTTTGCGAGCAGCAACATCATCCTACACTAACAAATTTGAAAAACTGGCCCATGAAATGCAGTGCCAAACATTACACTAATTTCCCACTTGAGTAATAATAATTGTACTTATAAAAGTACGTATTTTTGATTGCGTGGTTTCTTGTATCATTAAACGTCGTGTTGTTTTGCGTATTATTTGGTGTCCATATCTTATTTGTCCAGAGAAAAGAAAATTTGGCTTTGTTAATTGGTTGGTGCACTCCACGATCTCATAAACTCTCAAATGTGCCCGTAGGCACAAAAAGATTGGGGACCACTGGCTTAATCAGTAAAGAATAAGTCTACATTGGTTAAGAAATTTTCGACTCTACTCTCCGGTCTGAATCTTCTTCGTAAAAAGTTTCCACAGCTGCAGGTAGAACTCTCTCTGTTTTCAAAATGTCATGGATAGATGGTAGGCCTACTTTTAGGCACTGCAAGTTCCGAGCCTCTGCTCCTCAATGACTTCTTCACTTTCGCTATGATGATCTTCCGAACTTCTTCCGAGAGGCAAGAATAGGGGCAGGCAATTATATTTACTCTGGGGCCAGATGGGGCTACTTCGAAGTCAGTTTCCGTTAACAGGTCAGTTGCGAGAGGGATAGTGTATTATGTGAAGTCCTGCCAATAATTGTTGGCATTGCAACGGGAGCGAGTACCATTAATAATGGCGGAACAAAATGGATGTCAGAAAAGGCGGTCACGCGTAGACAATGTAAGTTATTTAAAATTACGAAAGTAATACAGAGGAGGAGTTTAACCTAGAACGAAACAGAGCTTCCACTGATTTTGAGGAAATCTTTGATAACTTTACAAAAAAGCTCTTTTCTGTGGGTAAATTCATTCATTAAAAAGAAGTTATAATTTCACAATACTCAGGACAGATTTGGGTGAAAATTCCTCATAGAATTTATATATTGCTTTAACTGGGAGGAAAGAATGTTATAACTTATCTGCACTACACATTTTATTCTATTTATTATATCATATATTATTATTTTGACGAATTTTTAACTTCAATACCATACAAGTTAGGGAAATATAGGCACAATTACAACAAGGATCTCTGAAACGTTGGTAAACTTCTGCCAGACTACACGGCGACAAAACCTAGGAGAGAGCCATCTTTCAGTAGTTAGTTGGTAGATTAGTCTGAATAAATAAACAATTAAGTTGAGACTTCACAAAGCGCTTGTAAATCAAACACTGCTCATATAAACCATCGGAACAACATACTTTTACTAATATTTCTTATTTGCCATTCAAATATCCATTTCAGAGTAATAGTAATAGCCCGAATTCAGAAAATGATTGCTTGAAACACTTCGTAAGTAGGGCACTGCTGGATAACTGCCATCTTTTGTTCCCTAAACCACTGCTCCTAAAAGTACTTTGGCACAGCAGGTACCTTTAATAAAATTTGCAATAAATGAAGTTATAAAATTAGTATTATTAACTGAGACTTCGACGAATTGTCAAAGGTGAGGAAATGCAGGACGTTAACAATAAAGGAAACTGAAGGTCTGCTCAAATATCATCGATTCAAACCTTCTAAAGTTGCATTAATATCATCACGAGTAGTCGATAGGTTGTCGAAAGGTGAAGGATTCTCGTGACAAAGAAACAACTGTTGTGAAAATGTACTACCTCTCGTTGCATACTGATCAGCTAATCACAATGCCACTCTCTTGTTGTGTACTTCTAAGCTATCTTCAAGCGGAATTCGATTGACGTGGAAGAAATTGCTGATGAAGAATGATTTTTAGGCGAGTTGCAATCAGGTTGAAAAAATTGCCCTTTTATGTAGGATTTGAGGTTTTTACTGCGTGAAGTCTGAAGATGGCTGTCTTCTGGGTTGTTGCGCCGTGTAGTCTGGCAGAAGTTCACAGACGTTTCGGAGGTAATTGTTGAAATTAGGCCCATATTTTCTTAACTTTTAAGGTATTGAAGACCAAAAGTAGTCACGTATACGCGCTATGGTTTCACAAATTACGCAGTTTTTAAGATCAGCATCAGCATCCTACTTCAGCACTTCAGCCCAAAACTCAGCTAACTACAAGTCTACATATAGTTGAAACTCAGCTGGCACAGAGGTACTTGGTACAGTGGACTGGTGAATACTATGATGAACTCCGGGTTTAAAGCTACGCCCTTTTTATATATAACACTGCAATTACTGTCTCAGATGAATATATTTTTCCCGCTACGTGTTTTTAACTAATGTAGCAGTGTTTTAATAAATTATTTAGTGCTGGATAGGACGGGTTTAAATCAAACGTAATTTCTACTGACATACGTCATTCTTACCCAGAACTAAGTATGAACACTTTTTTAACTCGACTGAACAACCGCTAGAATGCACTAACAGTTTCTTTCGCAGGATCGGAGGACGGTCAACAGGTGTTAGGAAAGAAGTAAAATCTTGAGCAAGACAAAATCATACGAAGTAATTAACCAAATAAATTGTAATCAAGGGGTTTCTCTTCCTATGTGAGTTATTTATAATACAGCGGACCTTGTAATTTTGTTTGGTTCCAGAAAGTGTTCACGGCGGTGAGTACGAAGATGGCTGTCTTCTGGGTTCTTGCGCCGTGTAGGCTGATAGACGTTTACCGACGTTTCTGATGTGTTTGCTGCCCTTTCATCAAGGCGAGGAGTGAGTCGCGGGCGAGGAATCGGCCAAACGGTAAATCAATTTTGCTATGTTCCAGTGTTACTACTGAATCACGAAAGAAAGACAGAAGCCTTTATATTTTTTTTTAATTTTTAAAATAATTAGCCTGTCAAACACGGTGGGCGAGACGTGTAGTAGGCGCAATGAAGATGAGAAAAGCGTACAAAAGTTTAGTCCGAACAGAGGCGTAGGTAGAATGATAATACAATGTGGTCAATCTTAGATATAAAGTGTGTGAATACGTGGACTGCATTCAGCTGGCTGATGATTGGGTCCACTGGTTGCATCTTGCGAGTAGGATAATAACCCTTCAAGTTGCGTAAGAGGCATAGAATTTCGTGACCAGTTGAACGACTGTCAGATTCTGAGTGCATTTACTCAATGACGTTAAATATTTAAAACCAGTTCACTACTTAATTTTAAATAAATGACTATGTAATTTTTTTTGTAGGTTTTTATGTTTGCGCAATTGTGGCTTTTAGAACCAGGCCTGTTAGTAATTCCACGCAAGCCTAATGTCTTTTGTTTTTGTAACACGTCTAGCTGCACCAGGCTATATAGTTTCGGGCCTAGAATCGAATGCTAAGTTAATGCGATTTGTGCGTGGTGATTTAGGCTACACACAAATATATTTCCCTTGAGCTTTGTGCAAACAATATTTTTGTTGCTTGAGATTCATATAATTTTATTTTCTGCATTGCAATGATCAGCTGAAACTGCAGATATCCAGATACGACCCAGATGCCCCGAGGTAATTTATTACGGTACTATAATATGCTACTTACAGGCCTATACAATTTCCTGCGTCGACCTTGGACAAACTTACCAGAATGCAAATTTATTGCATTAATTTTATTGGATGTTATGTTTACTGTCATACTACTGAGCTCCGTTATTCCAAACCCTACATAAAAATCACGAAGTAAAACAAAGTAAATGTCGACATGCCCAGATTTCACTCACAGTCGATAGTTCTGATGGTGCCTACATAAGATACGCACCAACCAAATACGAGGTGCGATCGGAAAGTTTCAAGACTGCGCGTATAAAAACCCGTACACTTATCTCAGGTATTAAATTCATCCATCACCCTCGAAGTAGTTCCCCTGGGAGTGAACACAACGATCCCAGCGCAGTCTGGAAACCTTCCGATCGCACCTCGTATATACAACATGTCAACAGACAACTGTAACAAATCGATGTCCCCTCAAAACATCGTTCAAATTTACGTGACTTTGCTCTGTTCGGTTTGGATGTATTGGTTTACGTTGGCCTAGGTTAGGTTAGGTTAGTTTAGGTTATGTTAAGTTCGGTTAGATTGGGTTGAGTTGGAATGGTTCTGGTTTTATTGTGGTACGTTTTGTTGCGAAGATGGCTGTCTTTTGGATATGGTAGAAGTTTACAAACCTTACAGAGGTCCCTAATGGCTCCATTATCACTTGATGATAGACTACACGGCGAAGAAATAAAATTCTGTCCTCGAATTTAGTCTGTTCTTCTTGGTAAACGTATTTTTGTTTGTTACTATATTAACCAAATATTTAAACTCTGTACTATCGGAGCACACCTTTCCAGGTTTGTTAGTGGGGAGAGATATAAACTTCACACAGTGAATTAAGAAGCAAATGTGTTCGAAAGTTGTATGATATTATTATGTCGAACCACAAAAAAACGTCTTAGACCGACCGCAATGTTAGGCGATAGATTCCCAAGTATGTAGTCGTGTAGTGTGTCTGGAAAAAATCATTGTATGTTCTGAAGTCCGAAAAGAAAGGGAAAAAAGGCGTAATCTATGTAAATATAAGAAAAGCAAGTTTTTTGTAATTTATGAGAAAAACTATTGCAACGCGTAATAAGTCGACTTATGCCACTCATGCAAAGATGGCTTGTGCATGTTCCATGGCACTAGACCAACTTTCACTTTCGCTGAAGCAACTTACTAAGTGGCTACAACCAAATGAATCACTAACAATGCTTAAAATCCTGAAAGGGATGTGTTGTGTGCTCTTCATAAACTTTCAGTAATGAACATGCCTCTTTTATGTTCAACCGCAAACTTAAATAAAAAGTATCTACTTTATGGAATTTGAATATGTCGTCTGGTCACACATTCATCAGTTCGATGAGCTCATATTGAATCAATGCGGTCGATCTGAATCATTGTACGTACCATTGTGAACGTGCTTGGTCTTTAACTTGCTTTCCTGTTAAACGTCCATATTATTCTATTAATTTTTACGAAACTTGGTTCGTCATTCAAGTCCTTCGCATGATAAAACATTAAGGATGCCATAATAACTGTTTGTTTCTCCAATACTTTCATAAACGTTGTACATGCTGATCGAAACAACAAGCAAAAGCGAGAATCGATTATCCTTCGCAATGAATACGTACTAATGCAGAATTGTGCATGCAAGTGGAAAAATTGTTGGCAAGTCACTAAGAAAGCTATCGTTGAGTAAGTTCGATCTGAAACTTTCTTTTCTACGACCAAGTATGTAGAAAAGAGAGTGCAACGATGCGTCTGAAGTACGAAAGAAACCACTTTTTAAGTAACTGTCAATTCATCAATCACATGGGGCACCGAAACAAAAATTTGTAAATGAGTTTCTAGCATGTTATCACAAGAATTTCACTTGAAGACAAAATGACTTCAAACCAAAATTATCGGTTATTTTACATTTTCCTGAAGCTTTTATTTAATAATCTCGGCCCCGCCTCATAACATTATATGACCACCATATTAGTTTATCAAATATCGCGATGGAGACGTCTCAAGTGCCATTCATATCATGTCGATTTTCAAGAAAATCTGTGCAAATTAGTGGACAAAATACTCAGATCTGAATTTTAAACAGCGGGAAAATAACTCAGACTTTCTTCGAAATATTAAATATACAGAATAAAGGTGTTTATTTAAATCACATGTTACACGACATCCCGTAAGCGCTACGTGTAGCAACTGTGCACTTATTTATTGGTCCTTTTAATGATAGGTTGCTGGGGATTGAGCACAACACGTTGCTGGTGTCGACAGATTAGTCAAAGAGAGCGATATCGACCTAAATAGCGAAGTTGAACGAGCATCTCACACAAGCCTACCGACTGGACAATTGCAACTTCTTGGCCTCCAGTTAACTAGATCTATAACATGAAAGTCGAGAGGTGGCACGCCATATCAAGTGCATCTTTATTGAAAGTAGCTGAGTAAGTATCCAGTAAACCAAGTGATTAACTTCATGCAACAGAGTCCTTTAGAAACGTCCTCAGTCGCTCAGCTAATTTAAAAAAACCCAGCTTTAATGGAACCCGTAGGTTCCCTACCGTTTTCGTAAGAGCCCGCCACTAGATCTTATCCTTAACATGTTGAATTCAGCCAACAACTTCACACTTAATTTATTTATGATTAATTTTGATATATCATTCAATCTACGTCTAATTATCTCAAGTGGTCTCTTCGCTGCAACTCTTCCAATTAAAATGGTTTATTACTCATTTACCCCAACTATTAAAACATATTTTAATATGGGTTGCTTGGCTTCTCAATCTTCCCGTACAAGTCACAGTCGAGAGGTTCACGGTTTTCATTTAAGTAAAATCAGGTGGTTGATAATTATGTTTATAGTAAGGAAAACTGAACGTTGACAGCTGATAATAACACAAGAATTATTTAGAGTAACATGGTTTAAGCCGTGTAGCCTGATCCGACTCAGTACTTCTAACACCCCGAGCCTTTCTATTTATTTACCAAGAGACCTTGGATATTGGATCGTCTCATTGAAGAACTATGACCACGACATACTGCAGAAAACACAGAGATGAGTTTATGCCCTGACCTGGAATCGAAATCTTTATCACAGTGCTCCTTGTAACGCCGGGATCATGTTTGTCACGCAGCAGCCCTGAGGATGAGAGCAGAGATTGTTCTCGAAACGTTGGCAGAAGGTATGATTTATCCATCATTCAGCCACTTGACGCGGCGTGTAATCCGATTGTCTTTCATCAATGATGTTTTCTTCATAGCAGAACTAGTCCGATTCTAACTTTGGAATCAAGTCACGCAAAACCGGCATTAAATGCACGTGGCTTGTGTTTCACGGGGTGACCTGAATATTCGGTAACATTATTATGATTCAAAACAACGTCACAGCAGTAGTTATACAGGCGTGTATTGATTCTTGGTTTATTCAGCGACTAATATCAGGTGTCTAAGGCATGTAACATTGAGAGTTAGTATGACTTAATGTGAAAAAAGAAGAAGAATAGAAACATGGCCTATTTTAAAGTAATGTCCCTAAATCATTTAGAGAATTCTTGCTTCAGTACTCTCTTGAATCTCTTATCTTTCCGTCGGATGTCTAACAACCGAAAAATTAACATATATAACAACTTTATTTTTACGTATTATTTTAATGGTTCTGTCACTCTCATAGAACATAAAGTGATGTAGTCTGGGAACCAGGTGCTGATGAGTCTTCAACGAGACTAATTAACGACTCCGTTTGAATAGCAGACTATAGCGTGTACTGAGACTTGTAGGTCTTCTAAGTTTAATCACATACGTTTTGATGTTCTATGCTATGGGAAGTGAATAACAACAATTGTTCTCTTCTTCGTGTCCTTGCGATTTCACGATGGTATTTTTACCTCGTAGTGTATGTAGTCATATAAAAATTAAGGATTCAGATGTATTACTTTTGATTGCTACTTTGCGTTAGACTGGGATAGTGCAATAGCTCTTGCTGGAGTTTATATATAAAATCTGCTGAGCTGTTCTGCAAGGCCAATTACAAGGAGCAAACAATTCTAAAGAAAGCAAAATTGCATTTTTTAAGTCTTAAAGGTACTGTGATGGCGTGGCCGATAAGTGTTACTGCTGTTCTGTACAGAAGTTTATACGCAGAATGAACAAACAGAGAGAATGGAAAAGGAACAAGGCGGAAAGGAGGGAAGAAAAAATTACAAAAGAAAGGAAGAGAGGGATGAATGTTCAAAGAAATCATTCTCCGCTGAATTTCAACAATACATTTATAATTACTGCATCTATGAAGACATGAGAACTAAATTAATTAATTAATAAAGGAATGTGAAGTAAATAATATCTTTAAAAGTTCTGAAAAGGGCAATTTCTGTATCGAAACCATTTATTTATAATAGCTACTTTAGTAAAGAATTTTAACTAATCAAAATATACCCTAAAGATATTTCAAGTCGCAGGGAATGCATTTGGATAAGAAAGTATCAGAGAAAAATTTCTGACGTGATACATCTAGGTAATTTCCAACGCTTGGGTCTAGTTATTTTATGTGATTTTTTCAAGCCATACTTGGTTATGAAGCTAACTCAACTCCTAAAATAAAAAAGACGTAATTTTTCATCGCATTGCTGTCAAGTGAGCGGCGATGATACTTTCTCCACGGCAGGGGGTTAGTCATCTACAAGACTCACAAGATAACACAGCAACCAAGGACATAAATTCTAATTGGCCGATTTTTTTTCCTACATACACAGCGTTTGTGATCCGACTTTATATGCGAACATTTTGAAGAAGGGATCCCGAAATAGTCGTATTAAGATAGGCCTCAGTTACATATTACCTTCGGCTTCTGTTAACGTATTATAACAGTTTAACTTTATCCTAAAACACTCAATTGAGTTTAAATCATATCTCGATGAAAGCAGTCATTCGTTATAAGCTTGTAGTTTGACAGATTGTCAAGAAATTACACATCTTTTATGGAACAAAACCGTTTGTTACTCTATTCCAAGGAATATACCAGTGGACCCCATCCTGAGCCAGATAAATCCACTCTACACTCTAAAACTATATTAAGAACTGTTTAAAATTATCATTCCGTCTAAGTCTAGGTCTTCAATTTTTTTGTTTTTTCCGAGTGAATTTGTACACGGAGTTTACATTCCCCCTAGATGCTCCAATCACCTCATCGTCCTTTGACTTATCACCTTAGTAACACTAATTACGAACTTTTACTTTTATTACGACCTCTCTCTGTGATCCGTGTATCATCTCCAGTAGTCACCTCTACCTTACTACACGGCGCAACATCCAATTGGACAGAAATCTTCGCCCTTGTCACCACGAACACAAAAAATCTTACCAAGAAGACATCGAATTTTGGAAGGATATGAGAGGAAGTGGTTGCGACCTACATTAAGACACATCCTCGAGAACTTAGGAAACTCATGCAAACTTAAGATGATTCAGTATCTGACTGAAAAGTAAACTTGCTATCCCGACCTTTGTTTTCGAAGTTTTCCTCAGGACGTTGAGGTAAATTCTGGGGAAGTGCCTCAAATAGACCACCATCGCTTCAATTGCAGTCATACTCCCATTTCAAGCTCTAGAGTGTACGGAGAAAAACGCGTCGTTAAATAACCCAGGAATCGGTCGCTTAATTGTTATGTGACAGGCCCTCTGAATGACGAGTTAAGAAGGCGACGTCAACTTTTAAACAACTGCACATCAGCAGAAGTCCCTCCGTGCGATAATATGGGCCTAGTGTTTCTAGTATTATTTTTCGTGGATAACAATGTTGGCTACCCTGCTTTGATTTAACCATCTCGAACGGAAGTTTTTCCTCTTCTGTTTTTTCTGCTAAAGCATGTGGAACTCTCATCGCTCGTCGGAGTCGTATTATCGCTGGAATCGCACATTCAGCTTTGAATCTGATTCAAAATCCGACACACAAAACAGATTTCTCTTTGAGACTTAAGCAAGGAGTAGGAGGAAGAAAGGAGTCAGGGGTAGGGGGTTCCAGTTAAGGTAGGGAGACTAATTGTGACGTCACGTGTGTATAAAACAGTCGCACAACGCCCGGCGCCCTTCCAGTTCAAACATATACCTAGTCTTCAACAACAGTGTTCAAATTAATTGTATATCACTTTATGCAGAGAATTAGCATCCCCGTAGATAGAAATCACTGTGTATTTTTCTTTCTAAATAAAGGACTGAAGGTTTAGAACAACGATGCGGCGATTTGTGATCACGTGAGTTGACCATCAACTGCTATAATGTATAAAAAGTAGTAATAAGTTGTGGCTATGAAAAACTTCCATACAAAGGAATAATACATTGTTGCGTGAATCAGATGTCTTAAAGAAGACTTAGCTTTTATGGTCTTTTGTCTGGTGTGATTATCCGAACATGAAAGCTATTTATATTTGGAGAATTTGCTTCTACAGTTATTGTACCGAAAGTCATATATGAAGTATTTTATTTATGCTACCTTCATAGTTTACGAAGTTTGAACTTTCATGAAACATTAACATGTAACATTAATCAAACAAAAATCGAATTCTGCTGTCAGATGCAACGCCTTAATTTACATTTATTAATATAATTTGAATTCCCGCCAAGTAGCTTGTAGAACTGAAGAATCTATTACAAACAGTCACAAAAACCAAGTTTTTTTAAAAAAGTATACAATTAAGATTTGTATAAGGCGGGGTTTGGCTATAATAATAAAACATTCTTTAACAAAAAGTATCAATAATAATAATATAAATTTCACGTAATGAAGCACAACTTCATGTGAATGGGAAATGACAATTGCTTTTATTGTTGAGATTTGATTAGACTGTTAGATTAAACGTCTATTTGGTTGCTTAACCAGTCCTACGTCCTGCAGATAAGCTTAGAAAACCGGAGGAATATCATTATGAATGAGAGTATGAAATTATGCTGAAATTCAGTACTTTTTAAACTATTAAACCATTAAAACCTACTGGTAACGCGACGTGTCAGCTGATTTAATGCCAAGCTCTGCATTATGTAATGCTCTCAGATAAAACAGGGATTATTTTCTAAAACAGCATTAACCAGTTGAACGCTGTAACGAGGTGTGTAGTGTTTTCTTAAATACTGGGCGGGCTAACTTCGACTTCAAAGGGGAAAAATGCAGTATCTTATTTCACCTCATTGTACATTGTAAGAAATATAGGGCAATGGAATTTGAATATTGATAATTAAAATTCTGTTGTAACGGCGAATTTTCGTGGTTTTATGCTCTTGTGGAATGTCTAAGTCGAAACGCATAAGGTATGAAACACGAACAGCTCTGCACAACTTATCTGCAGTCTATCCGAGTAACTGCTGCATTCATTCGCTGTTTAGATTTAAAATTGGTTCCTAATTTCCTGAAAATTATAATTGGTTCTTGTATTCCCTTCCGGAACATGGTATCGATTAAGTAACATAAGGCCCTTTGCTAGTTATGGAATAGTGTACCTGGAGCAGGTATTTACCAGAACTATTAATGAAGATTAGCAGCATATGACGCTACGGTCGCTTATTGTAATATACCGTAGGCCATTGAACAGTATCATGAAGACGTATGGGGAGTGGAGATGTCCAGAATAACATTCCTTACACAGATGCCACTTACGCTTGTGAATTAAAATGTTATGTTTTCTATATACATGTTTTGTCTTAAAGAAATTATTTGGTAAAATCCTGCGGCGTTCATCCATGTGCCTTACATGTAAATAACAAAATATTATTTATCATTAGGAATTACAGTTCAGGTATAGATGGTCAGAAATAAAAAAATATACAGGCCCCTTTAGGGCCTGCATATTTCTTTTTCACTGGTTAATGAACATCATTGCTCAGCATTCCAGGTTTCTGATCCTTATTTTTGTCTGGGGAGTTCTCCAAATAATAGTATCTAAGGATGACATAATCAACGAAACTGAGATGGATGGGGCTTGTAAAACACACCAGAACATGGGAATTGGTAATGCAAATTTTGCCCTGAAATCTAAAAAGAAAAATCTCTTGGGAGACTGCATGAATTATATTATAGCATACCAATGATCCCAGTCAACGACAACAACAATAGTAATACGTTTACTTATTTTATGAACTAGTGTACTTGACATTCTTAGTTGCTGACAGGAAGATAAATTCGCTCACTTGCACTGATTGTCTGTAAGGTGGCGTATAAAGAATATCCTGCCAGTTTCATCATTTATTGCATTGTGTCCGACAATAAACTAGCTGGATTTATGCAGAAAAATTCAACTTCAGCAGAGTAAAACCTCTTCAGACCACACGTCATAGATTTCCAAGGTCTTCCGCATTGCAAGTTTTGTATCGCTTTCATTCCTAGTGAGTTTTGCTTCCTACATAGTAAGCGTGGCGCACCTCTTATTTGAATTTAGCACCTGAAGCAGGCTGTCTTGTTTTTTGACAAGACTGTGTTACGATTATATTGTGGCTTGAATATTTCATCAGCGGTTACTTTGTAAGCGCAGCGAGGGCCTTGGTCTAAAAACCTGATTCAAAGCATGAAAAGTCATTCAGTTTAGCCCGTATCAGAAATTCCCGATCTAATAAATAAAAGAATTATCACTTCAATAATATACCCCCACTGCTTATCACACACAACTATTAAGTGATGTTTCTTTGTGGAGTGTGTCCAAAAAAGTCTGGAATCAAACATATTCTGAACAAACCTTAAACGTCCTATGTGAGAGAGACATGTTGCCTTTATTTGTAAAAATTTCCACGTGTTCTCGAGAACACGATGCTCATTTTGTTTTTAAATATTCGTCTGGTAACACTCTTCATTTTTAACTTGAAAGGGTTACATTTACAAGCCATTTCCTCGAATTATAGTGATGTAGATGGTTACCAAGGTTTCAGAGGACGTATTACCTAAATCTTGACGGTACCCCGAATCCACAAAAAGCCACCTAGTTTATTGCTTGTACCTTAATATTTTTCAATGCTATCGTTTTATCGTAGTCTCTTTAAAAGCTTCCATCCAATGATTAGTCCATACTCCTGTTTCTAGAATAGCGACTCACTTTGCGGTAGAATGTCAGTTCATTAGCACATATTATATGCCAAATATTTTGAATTTGCGAAATACAAATGTATAATGTCTGAATTTGCGCCTAAGAAATAAATATGACTGCCCATTTTCTGAAGAGTATAATTATCCCGAACGATTTATTATGCTGTAATGATAACATGTTTTATAATTAGTTACCAGTTATCTGTTGTCGACAATTAGACAAAATTATATAAATTTCTTGTGCAATGACTTAATTTGGTGGTTCGTGTATGGACAATACAAAATACGAACTTACAATTCATTTATAATTTATCCAACTAGTCATCACATTACTAACACGTCGAAATATAATAATTCTACTAATGACTTTTCTACAAGAATACGTTGCTTATTATGGTTCTAAAACGACATTAAATCATATTGTAATTACCTATACAATACAGGCAATATGTCCCACGATTTGTTTGTAACGCGTAGTTTTGATGCTATTAAAAGCTCGTGAGAATTCTGAAATTTCTTTAGAAAAAGTGCTTGTACTTCAAGCGAAAATAATCTGCATTATGAGATTATAAATTTCAACGGCAATGAAAATTTGTATAATTATCTTATGGATTATGACCCCGTGTAGATTTGTAGGCGGTTACCAACGTTTCGGAGGAACCTACTGCCTCCATATTCTGCGCAGAATAACCACAATTCATAAATCCTTCTCCTGTAGCTGCTTTCACAAATATGTCATTGGTACGAAACGGTTTTATTAATTAACTAAGTAACTAAAAAATAGACAGGGGAGTCCTTCATGAGAAGCTGAACCTGAAGTCATTTGAATAAAATTTTTCTTGGATATTATCCATCGTCTAGTAAATAAAATATAAAACGTAGAATATAAATATAAAACTAAAATATAAAACTAGACGATGGATAATATCCAAGAAAATTTTTATTCAAATGACTCATGACCATCGTCAAGAACTTTTAGATCTGAACCTGAAGGTTCATTACCGCTTTCACAAGAGCTTGCTGCCGGTCCCTATTCTAAGTAAGTTGAATCCATTACGTGTCCTTCCTTATAATTCATTAAAAGGAGAAGTTTCCTTATTTACAGAACGACATACTTTATTATTCTAAATGCCAATTACATTTAAAAGCCTGAGTCCTACGTCCAAGAAAACATCGCATCACCAACCAAATGTTTAATCTATTCAACATTTAAATAATCGACCAAGCTTTATTGTGAGATTTAAATAAAGCCGACAAACACGTAGTGTGCGCAAAATGTTGAATTACTGAAAGTGGAGCTAAATTGTTAAATTAGTTACCACTTTGCTTGTAAATGTTAATACATCAAAAACCGACACCCACATTCACGGCACACACGCCACGTAAGAAAATTACGTGAAGATGGGGTACTGGTTCCCGGCCTAAACCCGTGTTCGCCTGTGACGGGACGGGTGAAACAATTAAACCGAAAAAGGAAAACAAGTTTTTTATGTGACGACATGAAAGAAAATAACTTATGTTTCGCTCTTTCGTAGACTGTATTCATGTCGTAGGATTTGAGGTTGTCACGAAGTACGAAGATTGCTGTCTTCTGGGTTGTAGCGCCGTGTAGCCTAGTAGAAGTTGACGAACGTTTCAGAGGTCCTTGCTGCCTCCATCATCAGGGCGATGAATGCTTATCGCCCTGATGTTGGAGCAAGGTGCTACAACCCAGAAGACAGCCATGTTCTCTTCACGTCACCAAATAAATGGGTAAATAAATGATGTAACATTGTGGCATCTAGACTGATTCCTGCCGAAACAGGGTAAAAGTCGATAGCAGCACTCCAATGAAACACACATTTTTCAGAAGAAACATATTTTGTAACACATGCATATTTTGTTTGTGACGAACAATTTTTGAGGAAATCGATAAAATCTGTTTTAAGCGCCACGTATAGTAGGGGCTATGTTTGAACGAAATAAAACCAAACTAAACTCGCTCAAAACCTAAATAGCATAAGCCCTCAGCATCAAATCTAATCGAATATCATCACGCAGTTTCGGGTGAAAAGCATTTGAGAGGATGGACCGGTGCGTTCACCTGACGCAGAAACAAAATCAATTCAAAGTGTAATTAACAGTAGACTTAATATCTGTCGTCTTTTATTAGCCCCGACATACTAGAAATTTGTAATACGAAGTCAG